AAAACAACGGGATGGCTGGGAGAGGGGGGAGGGGGAAGTGTTCCTCTTTTTTCTAGAAATCTGTATACAAAATACCGACACACCAGTAATTCTCAATAGTATCAAATAAAATGTCGTATTTCTAGCAGGTTTGTGGAATAACTTTTGTTCTTTCAAAAACCATGTTGTTAACTTAAGATCGATTTGATAACTTTGCATGGCATTGACGTTAATAAAACGGTCTATAATTTTACTTCTTTTAATTATCATTAGAATAATAGTTCCACAGGTTAATACATATGTACCCTCCTTAATTTTAGGGAGTTGCAAATTTGATATGATTATAATTTTTGAACACTAAATTATTTTACAATGAAATTTATAATTTCTTGATGAATATAAGTCTAGTTGAAAAAAGTACAAAAAATATTTCATCAACTTGTTGCTCTCACAATTGGGACAGTGGAGTTAAGATTTTAGGGTTTCTTGTTCTCAATGTTCTCAGGTACCTATTAGGTAGGGGGCCCGGTGGAAAAAAATCAATTTTGTTTTGCTAACATTTAATGGTAATTTGTTCTTTTTAAACCATTTAGATATGTTTTGAAGTGCTTTGTTCATCGTGGAAAATAGTAGATAGATATAGTAGATAGATGTCACTGTTAGAGAGAAATAAGTTTGTGTCATCAGCAAACACAATACTTAAAAGATTTGATATTTTATGCAAGTCGTTGATATATATTAAAAACAAAAGAGGGCCTAAGATGAAACCTTGCGGAACATTACAGAAAACATTTAAAAACTGTTTATGATTAAGCTCATTACAAGAAACAAATAGTTTTCTGTTAGATAAATTACTTTGAATCCATTTAATTACTCTTTCATTTATTCCCTAATAATTAAATTTATAAAGCAAAATATCATGATTGACAGTATCAAATGCCTTACAATGATCGATAAAAATTTCTAATATGAATTGAGATTTTTCAATAGAATTGGAAATTTCACGTACCAACTGAATAATTGCATGCTGGGTTATTCTTTTAAAAGCCAAACTGATTGTTATATAATAAACTATTTAAACTAAAATAATTAAATACTCTATTAAATATGATTTTTTCTCGTACTTTTGAAAATATAGATATGATAGAGATAGGCCGGTAATTACTAATGTCAGATTTGTCACCACCTTTGAATAGTGGAATAACTTCAGCAATTTTCAATTGATCAGAAAAGACTTCTTGTTCGATTGATGGTTTTAAGACTTTAAAAAGAATTTGTTTTATTTGTGCAAAGCAATCTGAAATTATTTACCATTGTTACCATTGATTTCATCCGGCCCAACTGCTTTATTTTTTTTTTAGTGTTTTAAATACTTTTTTGAACTCTTCTAATAGTATTTCTTTAAATAACTCATTTAAATGAACGCAATTATCCATGGGTACTAAGAAATCTTTAAATGAGGCTTCAGTGTTAGAAATTATTTTAGATAGTTTAGGGCCAATTTCAACAAAGAATTCATTAAATTCGTGTGCTATTGTTTGAGAATTATTTATATTATTGTTATCCACTTTGATCATGTGCAGCAGGGAACCTGAGCATGGCTTTGATTTACCGGTAATTTCATTTATTATTTCCCGGGAACGTTTACAATTATTCTTTATTGAGAATTTTAGAATGGTTATGTTTTTTTAAGTTTTTTCGAACTTTTTCAAAAAGATTTTTGTAGTCTTTGTATATTTTTTCTTTGGCGAATGCTTTGCTTTTTAGATTTCTAGCAAACTTGAATTTATATTTGCAGACAATACAAATTTATTTTACTCTTCGACAAACATCAAGGATCTGTATGATAATGTAAACATAGAACTCCAAAAATTAAATATATGGTTTAAAACAAATAAGTTATCCCTAAACATAGAAAAAACAAAATACACTTTATTTCACTCAAACCAACAAAGAAACACACAACCAAATATTCTACCCTCTCTAAAAATAAAAAATATAGTAATTGAGAGAACTCATGAAATTAAATTATTAGGAGATATAATTGATGAATAATTTATCTTGGAGAACTCACATAAATGCTTTAAACACTAAAATATCAAAAAACATAGGTCTACTTTATAAAGCAAAATCTATGCTGTCGCAAAGTAATTTAAAACCTATATATTTCTCTTTTATACATAGCTACCTCATATATGCGAATATAGCTTGGGCGAGTACGCATATAACCAAATTGAAAACTTTATATCGACGTCATGCTGTAAGACTAATCTACCATAAAGACAAATTTACACACGCTGAACCCTTATTTAAAAAAATGAATGTGCTTTATATTTATCAAATTAACATTTACCAAAATATATTGTTTATCCTAAAATTTAAATTAGATCAAGTACCAAACCATTTTAAATAACTTTTTTATAAATAACGTTAATAAATATAACACAAGAGAAAAAGGAAACTTCATTACACCTTTCAAAAAAACAAAACTTTCCCAGTTCTCAATTTCATATCGGGGTCCTTATTTATACAACAAACTAGTAACTAAAAATAAATCAATTTGCAATCTAGATAATCAAAATTCCTTGAAAAAAAAGTTAAAAAATCTGATACTGAATCTAAACAGATACTCAGAATTCTTCTAAGACTATAAATTAAAATACATACAGATCAACTACAAAGTGAACTGACTCGTTTATGTGTATTATCTAAATGACTCTTACCTTTCTCAAACAATATATCAAAAATTGTTTATTACACACAAAAAAAACACTTGATTTTTTCTTATCAATTTTAGTTATTATGCTGCTTGTTATGTCTAAATTTTTATACTGAGCTTATTTTGAGTTTATTTTTTATTATGAGCTTAATTTAAAGATTATAAAAATATAGTTGTACTTAATATATAATTATATTTAACATAATCATAAAATATATCAAACACATTGTAAGGGTTTTGTGATAAGATCATTAGATCTTCTTGAAGTCCGGCCTGTACTATTTAATTATAAATTTCACTATATATTATGACTCACGAGACTTGTAAATATTACAACTTTTAATTTACGAAACTTGTAAATGTACGGAAAATATATGAAATTAAAAAAAAAAAATTTTTTCTAATTTTTAAGGCCGATTTTCACTGTTTTTTTTTTTTACTTAAGATATAAATTTTTTGCTGATAACAAGAAATAAATTAATATGGGGGAGGAGGAAGGAGAGAAGAATGGACCTAACAAGCTTAGGGTGGGTGGGAAAGTTTTCCAAAAATTAATAAACGTCCTCACCCCCTCCTATAGTGCAGGCAACATTACGTTTAGTGCCCATTTAGTACAAGTGACCATAACTCTGTCCGCTTTTATATTAACACTTTAATTTATAAAATATCTAAAAAAATTATACACCTTTTTATGATTTTAAAAAAACTGATGCAACTATTTCTTACTTATCAAACATAAATTGGGACTACGAGATTTCTTTTGTTTTTACAGCTGAAGAGTATAGGAGCATTTTCGGTCACCTTCATATTTGTATTGATCGTTTTATTTCAATCAGAACATCAGTTATATCATTACAAGAATAGTCGTTTTTATCCAAAGTTTATTTTTACAAAAATGTACTTAGAAAAAGATTTTTATGGAAAAAGTAGTCGAATACTAACCTATTTGCATAAAAAAGCATATATTAGATATGCATCTAAATGTAAAAAACCCGTATTTATATATACACACTGCAAGAATTTGGAACTCAAACTTGTTGAAGACTAGTAAAAATTGTAAGTTTTTTAATAAAGCTAGTAAGTTTTTTAGTTACGCAAATTAAAGTTACACAATCCGAAAAAAATATACCCTCTAAAAACCAACAACTTAACTAACAATATCGATATTGCGAAGGTATTTAATAAACACTTCGTAACTTGCAATGAATGATATAAGAAATTACCTCCTTAATTGAATCTCAGCATTTCATTCCAAGAGATACCAACGTGTTTTGGTAGAAAATTCTTGAGTCCATAGACATTTTACTATGAAAGTAGCCAACTTAAGTAAATTTTCAAATTTCAACAGAATTTTAATACTTGGTATGAAACTATTCAAAATTCGACGTCTAAAGCAAGACTTAGTTTCATGTTACAAAATTCTAAACAACTTAGTTGGTCTAAAAATAAATTCACGTGCTGAATTTATTTTTAGTTAACGATTATACTTTTACTCGAGGTCATAAACTTAAACTTCATAAACTCAAATTACGCAAAAAAGTGTCAGCTTAATGTTCGTAAATATTTTCTCTCTCAGAGTTTTTAATATTCGGAATAACTTGCCGTCTGATGTTGTAAATGCCATTAATATCAAGAGCTTTAAAACAAAAATCAACTCCATTAACTTTAAAAAGTACTGCTCTAGCTACTAGTACTGTATTTCTTAATTTTGTAAGCTTTTTTAATATAGTTATTTTTATTGTTGTGAGACACGTTGTTAGAATCTTATTTTTTTTGGACCTGCGCGTCCTTTAGAACATGTATTGCTGTTCTAATAAATTTAATTTAAATTCAAACATACATAACGTATCGTGTAACTTGCGCCTAAAACTGTAAACACTCTAACTCTTTGAAAGCCATCATTAAAAAAATAATGGGTGACTATTTTTAGTTCTAGAGATCTTTTTCACTTTCTATTGCCAAGTACCATAAACAGCAATTTAGAGATTCATAACACAATTAGTTTTTCTGGTCTGAAATGCGGCTCTGTTGGTTTGTAGAACAACCGTCTTATATGATTCATTCAATATTTTAATCAAATAATTAAAGTTTATTGATGTCATAGGAGTTGGCATATTAAAAAATTGCCACAGTTCACTCCTCTGGTAAAAAATCTGTACCCTTGAAAGATTTCCTCAACGTAAACAAAGTTGGTTGACGCATTAAAGTACATTGTTTTCGAAATAATCAGCATGTTCTTTAAAGAACTTTAAAAAAGTAGAAAAATTTTATTTTTATACACACATTGATTGAAGGCAAACAT